AACTGTGGTGATAAACTCCAACGACTTAATTGATTTTATTCTGCAACATATTTGCCATTTATTTTGATTTTTCATTTAAATTTATTTATTTGGAATTTAAATGCTTGAGTGAAAGAATGTTTTAGCCTGTTCATTTCTCTTTGTAATCAATATGCGAAAATTTTTCCCAATATGCGAAAAGTTTGGTTATCAATAGAAATTCTGATTCATTTTTCTCCTATTACCGTATTTATATAAGGCATGTGCTTCATCATTTTAATTGGCTACTTACTCTATTTGCCCACCCACTGGTTGTTTTTATTGTACTGCAACATGAGCAACAAATATTTCTACCGTATCTTCTTATCACACATCAGATTAAGATAAATTACTGAAACAACAACTTTAATTCAAATTAGAACGCTAATAATTATATAATGAGTCATTGGTGAACCATAAGTAAGTAAATAAGAAAAAATATCACTAACGAAATTAGTAGAGTTTTTCAAATATTATTTTATCAAATCAAAACTCGTTATCAATTGAAAAAGAAAATAATTTTTATCAGAAACAAAATGAGAATTTGCAAAAAGTGTGTATAGCCACTGATTAATTAAATGTCATGCCATAACAAAATAATCGAAATTTTTGTATTTTTTGGAAGTATTTCCGTTTGAGAAAAAAATGTTGAAAATATTAAGAATTAATGAAAGATAATTTTTTTCAGGCCCTTTTTATTCGCAAGTGCAGCAATATTTTTTACATGGACAGGTGATGCGGTTAGTATTTTTTATTACTTTAAATCATATAAATTTTATCGAGTGATCAGTAAATCGAATCCTACTGCCATCTGTCGCTTATAATCGCTAATTTTGAGTAGAAATAATCGATCTATAAGAGCCACAAGATTCCTATCAATAATGCATTCATTAGCTATTAAATTTAAACTCGACGAGAACAATGGTGAAGATATATAAAAGATATTGCTATCTTTTCGTTTTGTGAATTTAATTGATGACTGACATTTTTCAGGCTATTACAAATATCTCAAAATTTTTCTAAAATTTATTCACATAGATTTCAATGAAGTAATCACTTAGCAAAAGGTTCTCAAACTGAAATTAATTTTGGACTCTTTTTTATATCAACTTGATAAAGTTTTCTTGTCTTTTTGCATGAGAAAGCTAATTGTAAGATTTTGCTGCAAATGAGATTTTCACATTTTATCATCTTTAGTAATTAACTTAGTTTTAATCAATTTCACTGTTCTTAAAGCATTTAAATTATTAGCTATAACTAAATGAAAGCCATAAACGATTATATTGTAATGTTAGCGTTGTTGGACTATTTGCGCTTTATTTAAAAGTAAAATTAAAAATCATAATATTGCAGGTGTTTGTTTGCAAGCAAAAAAGTGATTAGGAAAAACATCACTAATCGTTATTATATCTCAGTATTTCAATGCTTAAAACTACTCGAAGAATTATTTCGCAATTTATGCAAATATAAATTCAAATTAATCGATTAATTTTGTGGTCCTTTGGTGCCCATTCAAATTATTGTTGAAAATTTTATGACGTTGTTTTGGATTAACAATTAATTAGCTTTTTCTAACTCAATGAACCATTTCAGCATCACAATATTTATGCAGTTTTAGTGATAGCAATGATAAAGCAGAAATAAATGCCTTGTTTCATGAAGTCCGACCTTTGAAAAAAAAAGGAAATGATGATTGGATGATAGTAGCGGGTTTACAACAAAATTTAAAATAAGCAATTTAATTCTGAACGAATTTATACTAAATTCATTCTCTCCTTAAAAAATTATTTTCATATGCAGGATTGTTTGCTGACATTCTCATATCAAAAAATATAATCGTTTGATTTAAGTCATTGACATATCATTCCAATCAATGAAATGATTTGAATGAAAGTATTGTAGAAGTTAAGATTTTTGAATGATTATCTTATTGTCTTTCTGTATACTAATTTAATAGAGCGAAAAATATTTTTTTGCATAATAATTTCAACATTTCATTAACAATATAAAATTTTACTTTTTGTAAACATTTATAAGCAGCTAAATGCTAATATCATGGCATGGGGTTTATCTGATTATTATTATGGAATAAATTTAAAATGAAAATTTTGGACTAAATTAAAAATGCTTTGCTTGATTTCATGAATTACTATTACGAAATGAGCATTAGCAATAAAAATTACGACTAACAACTTTCTCGCAGCTATGATAATATTTGAAAGATTATTCAACTTCATAATGATTCGTTTCCTTCCACACTTAATGACAACTGTTCTCGTTCTTGGTACCGTGGACTATTTGTGTAACATTTAGAATTTCAATGCTTCACACACTAATTCCAATTAAATAAATATGATTTGAATCGATCGATCTGAGCTAATTTTAAGAAATACATACAAAAAATTTAATGTAAATTTCAATATTTTATTTTGTTTTGTTTTATATTATTTAAGTATAATTCTAATAATTTCTAGAATTTAAAAAAATTAAGCAATTAAATAATTTTAAAGAATGTTCGATAACCATTGCTGAGTTATGCAATACTCGTAAGAGAAATATTTTAAAGCTCTTTGGATCTGAATAATTTTGATCATAGTAATAATTGTAGATTGAATGGTATTTAAACAAAAATTGTAGAAAGAAAAAAAGAAACAAAAATTAGTTTTATAAATATTTTCAATAGCTTCAATGTTGAATTAAATATCTCTATCGATTAGTTTTATTTCTAATTTTATAATTTTATTATTGCAATAATTTAAAAATCTTTTGCAACAAATTTTAATGCTACAACAAATAATTAAATTGCATTTCATATACAATTAATTTTGAAGTTAAGAAATCAAATTGCTTTGTACAGTAATCCATCAGATTGACTAAATCAAATAAAAGCATTAATATCATTGATAATTTTTTAATTTTGAAAAATATTTAACATTTAAATTATGCGATAGTTTAAAAATGACATATATAATAAAGAAAGGTGATGAATTTTAAGAAATTCATCGGATGAAGTAAGTCTTTTTATTCTCTCATAAAAAAGTGATTTGTGAGAACGAAGAAATAGAACTTCCGTTTATTTAAAAAAACCGATTCATTTTTCTTGTTGAAGAAATTTTTGGAAAAAAAAAGAAATAAGATAGATTACAATTAAAACAAAAGATTAAACTGCTTGTTGATGTCGGAGATGAATATTTTAAATGATCTGTTTTGTTTCAATTAATTAGGAATTTTTAATAAAACAAATAATGTGAAAATACGTTTTACCTTATCAGAAATAATAAAATAACTTTTCTCTTATTTCCATTCCTTATTAATCCTTCTAAATTATGATGATCTGATTGAATTATGCGCAAACCGTTAGTACCATTTAATGTAATAACAGTAGTAGCCTAAGAGCATTGATAATATCAAACATTCAAACATTTGAAAGCATATGAAAACTGTAAAGATGGATTTGGTCATTTGGTAACAGTTGGTTTCCTTCCTCAATTTAGATGTAAACTTTGAAGAAACAGTAAAGAGAAACAGTTTTGGAGAAACAGTAGGATGTGTCTGGTGGAAATATGTTAAATATCTCCATGCGGGATGCACTTTTTGGCTAAGGAAAAATAAGATTTTGTGTTTTTATTTCTGAAGGTACCACGATAGATGCTTTACTCTTCAACTTTATCCTATCTTAACAGAAGATCACCGTAGCTACTAATACAAATTAATTTACTGATATAAGATCTAACAATATAATAAATAAAACATTTAAATTTTTGCTTAACAATATTACATAACATTATATACAAAACAATACAATACATGCACTTATATGAGCATATTATTATTTGTATCGTATGCAAATAATATAGTATTGTTTGCATTATTACAGGAGAAACGTTATTCATTAATTATAATAATAATACGGCAATGTAGGATGCGGCATAATTTAAATCATGGATTCCGGATTTGAAATCAGAGCTGATTGGATTTTTGAATTATTTGTTCTGAGCATATATACTGAAACCGTAAAGATTTTTCAGTTACCACTTTATGTCACTTTATGAATTATGTCACTCGTTAAAATTAATAGAACATTGAAATCCTAAAATTTTGCTGTATCAAGTGAATTATACAATCAAGCAATTCTTCCGTTCAGACCAATCCGTAAATTTTTCAATCGATTCTTTATTTTCTAGGCATTTTAAACAAATTTCACCAATTTAGAACTGATTTATCTTTTTTACATGCATTTAAAGTAAATTTTCTAGCACAACCTTATGCTTCATCGAAATTAGTTAATAATTATGCAACATTTTCTGTTTTCCTTAATGAATTGTGAAATAAGCTTGAAGAGGAAACATGTAATATACCTATTTGTTTTGGCGTCTTGATCATGATCACCTGTTCTTATTTTGATTTCGAAGTACTGAGTAATGTAAATATGACAGAATTTAAGAATTTACGACTTTTCACATTTAAGCTTATTCTGCACCAAATAACAGTTCAATCAAATATTCCGCCGCCGGAACAATTAATGATAGTATTAATGCCTTTTGAAATGATGAAATGATCTCCTTCCCTGGAAAGGCTGATATGACTGGATGAGCTGCATAGATTCTTGGAATAATTCCGCCATTCCGATAACTCTTTGTTCGTCCACCCATAAACTCTTTATATATTTCAAATGGTTTTTTCAGCAATATTATGTACAGCGATAGTAAACTCTAGCAGCAACGCTATTGTTAGCATCTGTTGCATAAATTATGCAATGTAATCAATCAAATAACATTTGTAAGAGACATAAATGACTTAATTTTGCTAATTTAATCAATGATCACTCAATCGTTTACAGAATGGCTTTGAATTTTTGAAAAAATTTGTTTTATCAAACTGGAAGTAATTTATTAAAATTTATATTTGAAATCCATTTTCAGCAGACAACATGCCGAGATTGCACAAACAGAGGATGTTTTTGCGTTGGAGAAAAGGGAAGTATGGTAAGTTTTAAAGTTCGAGTATTACTAAGATTACTTTCAGCATTATGAAGATTATAAATTATGATTGTAGCTCAAGTTGGAAGTAAATGATTGATTTTTCAGGGCATGCCAGGTCCTCAAGGTCCTCCAGGTGTACAAGGTATACGAGGATTTCCGGGTCCTGAAGGCCTTCCAGGACCGAAGGGACAGAAAGGTTCACAAGGTCCACCAGGACCACTAGGAATGAAGGGTGATCGAGTAAGTTTATTGCTAGCAAATTAATTATGACTCATTCCAGCTGTGATATAAGAGTTTTACAATTCATTTCATTGCTCAAATGATGCTCACATTACTTTTAACACAGTTCAAAAATAAAAAGAGCTGTGAGTAAGAGCATATTTTTGAATTCATTTTAATCATACATCTTTTTGTAGGGATTGATTGGTGTCCCTGGTTTCCCAGGAAATGATGGCGCAAATGGACGACCAGGAGAACCGGGTCCACCAGGTGCACCTGGTTGGGACGGCTGTAACGGAACCGATGGAACTCCCGGTATCCCAGGTTCACCCGGACCACCCGGTGTACCCGGTTTTCCAGGTACACCAGGTGTACCAGGACCAAAAGGTGAACCAGCTATTGGATATGGTGGAGCTCCAGGAGAAAAAGTACTGCTTGTTTTTTTAATTTTTGAGTTCGTGTTTTGATAGAAACTTTTAAATGCAAATTTTGACAAGAAATTGTTCACAATTAGTAAAATTATTGACTTGCATTTCCTTTGTATATTTGAATCATAATGCAATATCTTATTAGTTATTCTTCATTAAAGGGTGATGCAGGAATGTCAGGAATGCCAGGTTTACCAGGACCGCCTGGACGTGATGGATTCCCTGGACTGAAAGGCGATCGTGGTGATATTGGGCCATCTGTGAGTTGCTCAATTATCCACTACTTTTGGAGTGGTTTTTAGTATTATTGTCAAGTATCAATGTGTCAAGTGATAAGCACTTATATGATAAACACTAACACATTTAAACGATAAGCACTTCTGCATTGATATCTTTACTGAATGTTGAAATATTCGTCAATGCTAATTGAACTGTGCAGAAGATATTGCATGAAAATGAAGAAAACATTCCTTTAATTAAACATAAGTTACTGATTAACGTTTATCGAATTTTCTTTTTGTTTCGAGATATTAATGAATCCATTGAATTTCAATCTGTCAAAATTGAACACAAACTGTGAAATTCAGGGACCACGAGGACCACCTGGTGAAATAGGTGTGCCGGGAAATCCCGGCATCGGAAGTATAGGACCAAAAGGAGAACCCGTATGTTTTTCTCAAATTTTTTTATAATTTATATATGGCTAGTGTTATTATCAAACATGTCGTTTTTCTGCATTTTTTTCTTGATTAAATCTTCAATTTCATGTTTTATGCCAAAGCATTAACTTTGCATTTAAATGTTTAAGTTATTTTGTGCGTTTTAAGATGCACTTTTTGCATCGAAACAGGAAGAGACAATACCTTTAGGGAGATCTTGGTCAGCAAGGGCCACCAGGTCCACCTGGGCCACGAGAATTCACTGGTTCAGGCTCTATCATAGGGCCACGTGGTGCGCCAGGAGAAAAAGGTATGAAGGTGTGTTTTTCTGCAATTTCTTCGCAAGAACACAGTATATTTTAGGGCGATCAAGGACCTCGCGGTTTACCAGGTCTTCCAGGTCCGGTACCATCAACTGGTGCCAAGGGTACAATCATTGGTCCGCCGGGTTACCCAGGAATGAAGGGAGAGAAGGTTTGCATACCATAGATGGACCATAGATGCAGAATATAGCTTAGCTTGACATTATTCCTCTCACAAAATCAGCCGATCTAATCTGAATATTTAAAATAAATCGTCACCAATTTTTATAATTAAAATAGTAAATCGCCAAAAACTTATTATTTTCAAATAACTTAAGTTATGCAAAAAGAAAAATATAAATCGGCTGAGCTTTTAATGCGTGAACAAAAGTGTTTCTCTTTGATTCATAAGACTTTTATATGTATTCAGTTGTCAGCTTTTACGCGTGATTCAGCGTACGTGTAAGTGCAGTTAATTATGCGTAAATATATGCATGTGTGCATTGTGCTTTACACATGCTACATTTTAACAGCAAAATATGAACGTTTCGATAACTGAGTATAAATCGATTCATGACAAATGAGAAGTAGCGTGGCAGAAGTACACTATTAAAGATTGACGAAAAAGTTTTGGAAGGTTTTTTACCAAAATTGCCAGTAATAAGTGATTGGTAAAAGTTAGTTTCAAAAATTACAAAATTGAATTTTTAGCTTAAATTATTAATCTATTTACATGATGATAATTTAAACTTGCAAATTATTTCAATCTCAAAGGAAGAATCGTAAATTAAATGCTTTTCTACAGACTGTTTATGAAAAATAAGCCTTCGCTGCAAAATGATGAACTGTAATTTAAAATCTTTTTTATTTTATATCAGAAATAGTATTTTAAAAATGAAAAAAAAAACATTCAATGTTTTCAACATTGAATTGTGTACAATATAGATCATAAATTTTGATGCATCGATGAAAAATGAATAGTGTAAAGTCATTAGTGATTCTGAATCTTATCCTATTTTGGAAAGATGGACGCTAATAACCATAAATGATTATATGGAATTTAAGCAAAAAACAACTGATCTCATATAAAAGTCTTATTGTTTTTGGAATTTTCTACAATTTCCTAGCTAATTTTGAAATTTCTTTCCGTTGCTTACCTATCAAAACATAAAATTTATTGTTAAACCTCATTACCTGACTGTGATAGCTTTTGTTTTAACTATCAGCTAACAATATCAACGCTGAAAATTTTTTCAAGTCCATTTATGGATTTTTCGTTTTGTAAAAAAACTAGATATGTCACTCGAGATTTTTGAAAATTTTAAAATTACATCTAATGAAAAATATTTGCATGGTGACATTAGTACTGTAGCCAAAAATTTACTTTCTTGCTAACAATTTAAAAATTTAAAATCAATCAAGAAGCTATCGTTTTTATGCTGAAAATATGTTAATGATTTAAAAATCATATCAATAGCTCTGAATAAGAAGCATTCAGAAAACCAAAAAAAAATAGTTTAAATAATGGCATCGGAAAAGTATTTTCAAGCAGTGAAGATGGTTCTGCATGTAACTTCCTTCGATACATTCTTATTTACCTAATAATTTCCTTACATGTACTATTTACCTAGTAACTTTTTTCGATACATTCTTATTTACCTACTTCATGCCACCTAACAGCTTTCTTTTAGAAAAAATCCTTCAATTGAAGCTTAATATCTTTCAAATGTACTACTTTATTTGGATCTGAGTAATGCATACATGTTTTAGGGTGAACCTGGAGAACCCGGAGCACGTGGATATCCGGGAAATTCTGGTGCGCCAGGACAACCGGGTTTTCCCGGAATGAAAGGGGAAAAAGGACTATCTGGACCTGCGGGACCACGAGTAAGTTTCAGTGATGATTCACGCATAATAAATGATTGTCTATATATGGAATGAACCAATTTGAGGTTAAATAATTCATTGATGAAGGATATACTTTTTTATTCACTTCTTTTCTATTGTTTAAGCTATAGTTTTTCAATTTTCATATTAAAAGACCAGAAGGTTATTAAGACTTCAAAAAATTATTAAAATTATATGAGACCTTGAGTTATTTTTCTTGATATTAGCAGATTTGTAAAAATAATTAAGATTTACATGAGACATTTGTAGGGAAAAGAAGGACGACCCGGTCTGCCGGGTCCACCAGGTTTCAAAGGCGATCGTGGTTTAGATGGTCTACCAGGTGTACCCGGTTTACCTGGTCAGAAGGGTGAACCAGGATTTCCAGGTCGAGATGGATCAAAAGGAGCTCGAGGTCCACCAGGACCACCAGGAGTACGTATTTAAATCAACATGCAAAACCCTTCCGTCTTTTTGTTTGAAAATCGATGACAGTTCATGTGATAAAACTAAAATGTGACAAAAGCGCACGCTTTCCGTGTTATTAAGAACAAGTCTAACTCTTTTATGCAATCGGACAGATTCCACTGCATTCAATTATCCTTCTTTTGATGAATTTCTAATCTGAAATGAAGAGCACTTGCAATATACCAACGTGAAAAGATATTATTATACGGCAGTTATAATGATTTCAGGGTGGTGATTTCGCGAACGGACCACCAGGACCACCTGGATTACCAGGACGAGAAGGAAAACCTGGCCCACCGGGAGTTGATGGCTATCCCGGACCACCTGGACCACCGGGTCCTCAAGGTCTACCTGGTGGACCTGGACTTCCAGGTTTGCCTGGTTTAGAGGGGTTCCCCGGACCAAAAGGATTAAAAGGTAAGTAATAGAATTAATTAAAAGGAAGCAATATTATTTAATATGTTGCTGACATATTTCTTAGAAATATGCTGTATTGATTTTCTCAATTTCCCACGTTACAGGCGACGCTGGTATACCAGGTGCATCTGGGATGCCTGGACCACCCGGACTGCCTGGATCGCGAGGACCCAAAGGAGAGCCTGGGCCACGTGGTGCTGATGGAAAAAGCATTCCCGGTTTACCAGGTAAAGATGGCAGACCTGGTTTGGATGGTTTGCCAGGAAGGAAAGGAGAAATGGGATTACCGGGTGTTCGAGGTAAATAATTTTTTCAAACAACTTAAACAAAATACTATAATTTAATCTCATAAAAATTTATATTTTAGGTCCTCCTGGTGATTCATTGAATGGACTTCCTGGTCCGCCAGGACTACGTGGACCACCAGGACCCAAAGGTTACGATGGACGAGACGGTGCTCCAGGTTTGCCTGGTTTACCAGGACAAAAGGGCGACCGTGGTGGATCGTGTTCTGCTTGCGTTCCTGGGATGAAAGGAGAAAAAGGTAACGGACAATTGCAACCGATTAGAAAATATTTTTGCTAAGCTTTCTGGATTGAATAATCTCATGCAAGTTCTGTTTGGAAAGTACCCGAAAGAAGTTGGACTAAAAGATAACTGTGTAAGAGGATACAACGTTGGGCGAAAGATGCGTTGGGAAAATAATGTATTTTCTCTGTTCTTATCGTCATGTCTTTTCAGGTTCTGATGGTTATCCAGGCTTGCCGGGACCACAAGGCGAAAGAGGATTACCAGGAGTATCAGGTGCCCAAGGTCCTCCTGGTGACGACGGTATGGCTGGTGCGCCAGGAAGACCTGGCCCACCAGGACCACCTGGAAAAGATGGCATTCCTGGTTTGCCAGGGCAGAAAGGTGAACCAACACATATGGTGCTTCGACCAGGACCACCAGGATATCCAGGTCAGAAAGGTGAAGCTGGCTTCCCAGGTTTGCCTGGACAAATTGGACTACCGGGAAAATCTGGACCACCTGGTTTGATAGGATTGCCTGGAATGCCAGGACCAAAGGTTTGCACAATATGTTACACTGTTTCCAAACTTTGAAATCGTTAAATTTCCTGATTTATTTTTGTATGCGAAAAGATGGCAAGATAATTTTACAATGTTTCAGGGCGAACCAGGTTTCCCAGGACTGACAGGAAAACATGGCAAGGATGGACTTCCAGGTCTTCCTGGATTGAAAGGAGCACCAGGTTATGGTGCACCAGGGTTGCCAGGACTTCCGGGTCAGAAAGGTGAAGCGGGTATTCCTGGTCTACCAGGAGCTCAGGGACCCGTTGGGCCAATGGGACCACCTGTAGCTGAAAGCCAATTGAAACCAGGGCCACCGGGAAAAGACGGGCTACCAGGATTACCAGGCCCGAAAGGAGATGCAGGTTATCCTGGTGCTCCGGGAAAAGAAGGCGTTCCTGGGCTCCCAGGCTTGCCGGGACCAAAGGGTAATGAAGGTTTACCAGGGCCACCGGGCATCGTTGGTCTACCTGGATTGCCTGGTCCAAAAGGAAATGCTGGTGAGCAGTTTTACCTTTGGCCTTTGTCTTTTTCAATTTTCAAACTTGACTTTGAAAGTGTTAAAAATTTTAACCTTGGAAATGTTAAAAATATTTAGAATTAGAACAAATTAAATTTTATTTCATTGAATTTTAAATTCAGGAAAACCTGGTTTGCCGGGTTTGCAAGGTCAAAAAGGTGAAGCAGGATATCCAGGATCTCCAGGATTGCCAGGAGTTAAAGGAGAACCAGGACTGTCAATGACTGGGCCACCGGGTCCTCCTGGATTTCCTGGACTGAAAGGAAATGACGGTTTACCAGGACCACCAGGACCTTCAGGTCCCGAAGGACCACGCGGTTTGCCAGGTTTACCAGGCTTAAAAGGAGATGCTGGCCTTCCAGGCACACCTGGAATTGTCGGTTTACAGGGTCAAAAAGGCGATGCAGGATTTCCGGGACTTCCAGGTAAATTTCTACGAAATTCTTAGATTTTCTACAGTTTTTAGAACATTCCTGAATGTTGTTAATAACAGAAAATAAGAGACTTTCGCATAGATATAACGATTATGAATATTCCATTTCAGGAGCAGAAGGCCCACCAGGGCCGCCTGGCATAGCAGGAGTGCCAGGTTTCCCAGGACAAAAAGGTGAAGAAGGATTGCCAGGTCTGCCAGGTGTTGCTGGATTGAAAGGTGATGCTGGACTTCCTGGAGCTCCTGGTCTTCCAGGAGCAGCCGGACAACCAGGATTTCCAGGACAAAAAGGATCAGCAGGGCTTCCAGGAATACCAGGTGCTAAAGGTATGAATTACAAGAGAAAGAGTTTTATAATGTACAGCGAAATTGTGTTTATCCAACAATTTGAACATGTTACCTAAACTTTTACATTCACGAGAAAATGAAAGTATTTCAGGCAACGCAGGGTTACCAGGTTTACCGGGACCTCCTGGAGCTAAAGGCGAACGAGGATTAGCTGGTTTGCCTGGTCTGCCGGGAATGAAGGGCGAACCAGGCCATCCCGGTTTATCTGGTAAAGATGGGATCCCAGGTATTCCTGGTGCAAAAGGGGAACGTGGCTTTAATGGACTTCCGGGTGAAAAGGGTGAACCTGGACCTGCTGCAAGAGATGGAGAGAAGGGTAACGCTGGTCTGCCTGGCGCACCAGGTTTACGAGGACCTCAAGGTTTGCAATTAGTAGAATTAAATTTCATGAACTCATTCCGTTATCCAAAATGAGCATGTATTCGGAGTCATGTGATATTAACATCAAATTAATTCTTAAAAATTAGAAGAGAAATATTTTAAGTTACAAAAGTAATCCAGAAAGAATTTTTGAAAATGCACGACAGAATAATTCCATCTTACAGGACCACCTGGATTGCCAGGATTGCCAGGCGCAAAAGGTGATGCCGGACAACCAGGTTACGGTGCGCCCGGTCTACCGGGAGAAAAGGGTATTCCAGGCCTACCCGGGAAACAAGGAAGACAAGGAGCACCTGGACAAAAAGGACTTGATGGTGCACCAGGATTTCCAGGACTTAAGGGCGATGCAGTACGATATTAATTTAAAATAGTTTTATGATTTTCAAATGTATTTTAATTTTATAACATTTAGTGTAAATTAAATTATCTGTCATAACTTTGTAATATGCTACAAAAAAATGACTTTCACAATAATCATAACTTCTTATTATAAATATTATCATTTATAGGGTATTCCTGGAGCACCAGGACTTCGTGGGCAAGATGGATTACCTGGTTTACCAGGACAAAAGGGTGATGCAGGCTTTCCAGGTCAAGTTGGACTTCCTGGAGCACCCGGTTTGCCGGGTAAGATGGGTGTGCCTGGTATCCGGGGTGACAAAGGAAGTCCAGGTATGCCTGGAGCTCATGGTGATCGTGGTTTAGATGGTCTTCCAGGCCAAAAAGGAGAACCTGGATTTCCAGGATTACAAGGCCCCATGGGTCCACCTGGTGTTAAGGGTAATATAGGCCAACCTGGTTACCCAGGAATAAAAGGATTGCCAGGACTACCTGGAAAAGACGGACTGCCTGGTTTACCAGGAATTAAAGGTGATACTGGAATACAAGGAAGACCTGGAAAGGATGGATTTCCTGGAATACCTGGACAGAAAGGTGAAACTGGTTTGCCTGGATTACCCGGTTTACCTGGCAAGTTTTTTTTCGTTATTAAAAATCTAATTCACGTGGATCATTACATCTTTTATAGCAAATTTAAAAATATTTCCTGATATTTGCAATTCTTAAAATTCTGGTTTCAATTTTTATTGTTAGTATTATGGTTCTAATTTTTATTATTAAAATTTGTTTTGTTTTAGGCGCATCAATAACTGGGCCAAAAGGTGTTGCCGGAGCACCAGGCCTTCCCGGTAAAGATGGTCTTCCTGGATTACCAGGAATAAAAGGTGAACCAGGACTACCGGGATATGCTGGAGTACCAGGTGCAAAAGGAGATGCTGGACTACCAGGAATCCCAGGAGCTAAAGGAGAACCAGGACTACCAGGATTGCCGGGTTTGCGTGGTAAAGATGGACTTCCTGGAGTACACGGTATCGCTGGATTACCGGGCATACCAGGTTCAAAAGGTGATGCCGGACTCACAGGCGCCCCGGGTACACCAGGTCTTCCAGGTTTGCCGGGATTGAAAGGTTTGTTTTTAGAATAGTATTTATGAATCTAAAACGAACCGAATGCCGTAAAAAAATAAATAAAACCGGAGATTGTTCAACATTAATTGAATTAATTTTAATAATATTTAAGCTTTATTTAAAAAAAACGGAATTTTTAAGCTTTTGGGATTTAAAAATTTTCAAATTTGGCCAGAATTTTTTAAGGAATCTGCTTTTTATAGGCGAACCAGGTCTCCCTGGATTCCTAGGACCGAAAGGCGAAGCAGGTTTGCCAGGACAACCAGGGTTACCAGGACTGCCGGGTCTAAAAGGTGACTGTGGTATTCCTGGAGCGCCAGGTCGAGATGGTGCACCAGGTAAGGTTGGCGAACCAGGACCGATGGGTCCTCCAGGAGCTGAACCATTAACATTGCGTGGTGAGAAAGGTGATCTTGGACCAATGGGTTTACCGGGCATACGAGGTGAAAAAGGACTTCCTGGCCTAGATGGTTTGCCAGGACCGAGTGGTTAGTGAACATAATAATTAAATTTAATTCGAAATCAGCTGATAAATAAACTTGCAATTCAATTATTGCATAATTGGTGTATATTGAAATTTGATAATTGATTTTAGGGCCACCAGGACCACCAGGATTGAAAGGAGCAGATGGTTTTCCAGGACAACCTGGCTTACCCGGTGAAAAAGGCGCGGCTGGTTTACCAGGCTTTCCAGGTGTAGAGGGTACACCAGGACCACCGGGACTTCCAGGGCCAAGCGGACCACCGGGTTTACCAGGACCAACATACAGGGATGGATTCTTACTTGTCAAACACAGTCAAACAACTGAAGTACCTCAATGTCCCCCAGGACAGCGAGCTCTATGGGATGGCTATTCTCTGCTGTATATCGAGGGCAATGAAAAATCACATAATCAAGATCTAGGTAACTCCTTTCGATTAATGTCATTAGATGAATGAAAACATCATCTATTATAGGACCGAAACCTTTTCTTTTGTATTTGATAAAATGTCTAATAAGTGATTTATAACCATCATATCAATAATTTTACTAGTAATCATTAGAAATTAAAAGAAAATAAAAAAAGGCCAAAATTAGCAAAAAAGATCGTTTGATAAATCAATTGTTAGGCTTCATGAATTGGATAAATACAAAAGTTACTTAATTTAATTAATTTTTCGTAGTTTATCAATCATCCATAGTTGGAAAGATAAATAAAAAGTGAAACATTTCAGGTCATGCGGGTTCATGCTTAACGAGGTTTTCAACGATGCCATTTTTATTTTGTGACTTCAACAACGTTTGTAATTACGCATCTCGTAATGATAAATCATACTGGTTATCAACAACAGCACCAATACCAATGATGCCTGTTAATGAGCAAGGCATTGAGCCTTATATTTCAAGGCATTTTATTAATTGTTCTATTTTGCTTAATATTAAAATTAACATTCTTATGTTTAAGAATTCTTTCATTTTTCTTCAAACTATAAAATATAAATTTTTTTCTTGAAAATTTCAATTCATGGTTTTTTTGATTAGATAATTCAAATTTTCGAATGAAACATTGCTAAATTTTTCTAATTAAAAATAATTTCTGTTTACAAGGTTTTTTTGCAGATGTGCTGTATGTGAAGCACCAGCGAATGTTATTGCGGTTCACTCTCAAACTATCCAAATACCAAACTGTCCAAATGGATGGAACTCACTTTGGATTGGTTATTCATTTGCCATGCATACCGGTGCGGGAGCAGAAGGTGGTGGTCAATCTCTAAGGTCATCCTTTTCTTTCACTATCTAATTTATTTCTATTTCTGAATGGGAAGGTTTAAAAAAATTTATAGACGGTGATAACGTCTACAAATTTAAATAATCTGTAAGTTTCAGTTAAACGCAAAATAATTTGATTTGTTATCGATCTATATGTAGTTAATTACTTCGAAAATTATTGGCCATCTCTTCATTTTCCTACCGTTACTGATGGCTGATTAGTAGTATTTTTGAGTATTCCGCACCTTTATGACTCTAACATTGCAAAACCTCTTTAATAGATAGATCGATTTATTGATTTAATATATGACAAAAATATTTTAGCTCACCTGGCTCATGTCTTGAAGATTTTCGAGCAACACCTTTCATTGAATGCAATGGTGCTCGTGGTAGCTGCCATTATTTCGCTAACAAATTCAGTTTTTGGCTTACAACAATTGAAGATGATCAGCAATTCAGGGTATAATATCTTTCTTTTTGTTTTTATTTTAGCAATCTTTCAAAGCGGTTGAAAAAAATTAAAATTATCTGCTTAAAAATGATTTTAAACTTTAGATCCCAGAAAGTGAAACATTGAAATCGGGAAGTTTACGAACACGGGTCTCCCGGTGTCAAGTGTGCATAAAAGCTACAGATTCGAGCCGATTCCCATACAAGCAGTAGCATTCAGGAAAAAACGAAAATGTAAAATGTTAACAAAATATAAGATCAATTGAAAAGGGATACAACAACAAATATCAACAAAACGAAAACACTGCTTAACATACAAATGCTGCCGACTAGTATCTTTCTTTTTAAATAGCATTTAATTGTAAAATTATTTTAAAAATTTCATTTTTTGGAATATTTCTGCACTGCCTTTAATTTAATAATTTAGTTAAATCAATTTTTATACCTTTTTTTTTCTATTCCATCATTTTCTGCAGCTTTTCCCCAAAGCTGAAATTGATTTTAAATACAAAAATGAATGAAGAATTCCAAAAATTACGCCATTTCTATTTTCAAATCTGTTAATGAATTGATATCGATTAAATTTAAAATAGAAATGAAATTAAATTGAAAAATTAAAACATTTTTGTTTGCTATCTTTCATTGGTTTGGTTTGTGATACTTGAAATATGCTATTGCCTTTCCTCTTCTATTTCTGCCATCTTTTTCGTTGATATGTGCTTGTTGGGTATCTCATTATTAAAAAATTTTTCCAAGAAAGAAAAATATATCATTTTAATTATTTGCTCTATCTAAATAAAAAAATATGCCACCTACGGTGCTACTTTTTCTTTGCTCATTATTTCATCAGCTAATTAACAGTAAATATTGCTATATGTCGTTTGTACATATTCAAGGCATTCAATTGAAAAATTTTTAAGGAAATTTATGTGCCTTTATCATTATTGTATCTTTCCAAAATAATTTATTTCATCCAAGGGTTTCGTAATGTCCAAAAAAGTGGCTCGCAATATCCTGGAAGGGAATTTTCAGAATTTTTATTCAACTGAAAATTAACTTTATTTTTAAATCTAATAATGAATGATATCGAATTAGTCTGAAAATAATTTGCTTGGAAGAAATAATAAAATTGAGTGAAGTAGAAAGAATGAGTTTGCAAACTGCAATTTAATTATAACAAATACGGAGCTTGCAAATATTGGATCATAATTCATCGCCTATTTCTGATTTTTCATTAACAACATCTGCGCGTCAACTTGTTTGCTTTTAATTTGGCATAACAATTTGAATCCATTTTCGAGAAATGAATAATAAGAAGAGAAGAGATTTTTTCAGCATGTTATTCTTCACATTGTATATTTTATTGTTAAAAATCATTAATGAACGGTCCAAAGAAAAAGTTAAAAAATAACAATTCGAACTATAAACTGTCAAATTTTATAGGAGTCTATGTAAATGTTTTTTTTTTTAATTAAAACAATGTTGAGAAACGATAAAAAAATGAACTTCAAGCAAAATTTCCGGAAGTAAATATTTGCAAATTCTATAAGAAAACAATCCATAAAATGTATTCGAGCATTCGATACTGCACTTTACCCTATTAATATGGCTATTATACTGTAAAAAAGATTGATTTATACATTTCCTTCAAATCTATTTGTAAAATATATCACTCAAAGGTATAATTGAATCTACATGAAACGAAATAATTTATGTACAACAACTTCTATCATATCTGTTTATCAACCATCAAATTACCATACTATATGCATAATCTGTCATCCATTTTATACAAAAAAAGTATCGGTCAAAGAAGCATAACAAGTAGAAGTTAATGAATCAATATTGAACAAAAAAAATTTAAAAACCAAGAAATAGTAGTAATACAAATGTTATAAGATTTACTTAATACGTAACTTATTTAACACGTAATTGCGATACCTAAAACATGAGCTGCCATCTACTCTTCTTCCATTAATATGTAATTAAGTTTAGACGATAACTATTTCATGCATAAATAGTAAAGTTTTCTATTCATTTCAAAAAAGGTTTCAATTATGATCGTGATCAAATTGGTTGAAAATTTCATCATTTCTAAAGAAATGAAACGATTCGAAGAATATAATATCAATAAGATTCTGTTTTTTTTGATCCCATAAGATTAAGATCTTTCTCATATGAAAATATTTGTTTTTCTCTTTCTTTCAATTTTTAAAAAATTTAAAAAACACAATAAATAGTTTATCTCTTCAAAAAAAAACAAACAAAATCTTTGTTTATATTGCTGCTGATTGATTTCTTAATTTGCCCTTATCAAATTACTATTAATTAAATTGAAATTAATTATGCCAGTTTTTATCGGTAAATAGGTTTGAATTAAACAACGAAATGCTTAGAAAATTAAGGTAAATTTGTCAACTTTACATAAGTATAAATGACAAAAAACAAAATTGGGCAGCAGCACTCATATGGAATGTGTCAGCAATAAGATTAAAAGAGTCTGCAAGGAAGAAAATTTTTCTATTAAATAATAAATTTCTAGAATACATTGAATTCATGTGCAGTTCCAGGCACTTAAGACATCCTTTTTCCATCTGTTGTATCTTACTTCCGTCGATTAATACCATTTGCGATGGATCAGAAAGAATGACTATAATGTAAATGATCGTTTCTTGTAAATCAGATAGAAATAGCAAATTTCTGGTAAATCCGTTTTCTCTTAACATTGACCATTTTCTGAATCGGCATGTCGATATGTTTGATATTTTTTGTATTGTTCGAAGTGAAGCTGCCAATCAACAATGTATTCATTCTCCCAGCGGTTCATTTCCTGTTTCCAGCGCATCACTTGATCTCCTGTATCGGCTGTAAAGAAGTTATCCCTATCGATCTAGTCTGTATCGGGATCGGTTTAGTTTTTTATATATCATTTGAAGCGATTTAGAACATTTTAGAACTCATAATAATCGCTTTGCAAAAAAAAGTTTAACCTATAGCAGCCATTAAATTTGGTAAAATTTTCTTCCAGAACAAGCATTGTTTCCTTCTTGGTCCAGTACCAATACGTGATGAGCCAGCATAATAATCCGATTCCACCGTTAAATTCATATATTCCATTGTTGTTTGTGTATACTGTGGCCACACATCTGGTGTATATGTCCCATCCGGATTTTTATTCGGATTTCTGATTTGATTATAAAATTTTGAACATTACAAGTAAACATAGAAAATAAGGCCTATTTCAATATTTAATTTTGTAAAATTTATTGAAAGCCTTATAAAACTTATTAAATTTTATTTTGTCCAAATTCTATTAACTATTTATCGCATCATTTCATTAAATAAATGAAATTAATTTAAAAAGTTGAAAAAAAATTTACTTCACCTAATTTTTTAATAACAAATTTTATTATCATTCTATTACCCTTTATAAAAATTGCATTTGATTTTATCACTTTCATAAAATTTTTTACTCTTAAAGGAATAGCCATTATCCAACGATATATAAAGAAAGTAAGATACCCGGTACGAGCAAAATTAGCCCAATATCGCATGAATCTCATACTCAGTTCTTGTTCTTCTTTAGTGTATGTAAATTTCTTCGTATTAAGCGGTTCACCAAATATGAAATTTATCTCATATCCATGGATGACACCCATCCATTTGGGCCAAGTTTGTTGAGTTGAGCGATGCGTGAAATAATAATAATATGTATCACCTAAAAAATGGGTAAATTGTTAATTACAAAATTATGATTGATTAATTAATTAGCTGTTTTCCAATGTTGTATGTATTTTGAGAATGAAATGATCTTTTACCTCCATGAACACTATTGGCCAATGCAATTTCATTGCTGTTACATGTGAACTGTAAATCACCAAGCATTTTATCCAGCGAATTAATCCAATCGAATGGCTTAATTGGTAGATCAGCTGGTTCATATTCATGTATAATCGATGCTAACGCCAATGGTGCTTTTAGCATTTGTCGAGGTAATAAATTTGATATACTATACAACCATTCCTCGCGACTTGTCACGAAGTCCTTCTTTATGAAGAAATCTTTCGGTGGAAAAATGTCCTACAAGTTTAGCAATGAATTTTGACAAAGGTAATCAGTGAATGCATTGAGATCATAAATTGTGATAAATCATTTAGAATAAAATTTCCTTTCGAATGATGAATTAGACTTTTGAATGAAATAAATACACATTATGAGTCATATAAAATACAATATTAACTTTTTAATTTTATTAAAAATTGAGATCATAAAAATCATTTTCAAATTTCTTTTCGTTATTTCGTCTAATTAAAAAGTATTTTCAAAAATAAATGGTTCACTGATACATTGAATGACATTGACAACAGTGATAAGCTTCAATAGCAGTAATGAAAATAACTCTAATATCACTGATAACTATTGAAAACATTTTCCTTACTTTCATATCATTTCATTGGTTTTGATAACAGCAATTTATAATTTTTGGAAGAATTCTAGCAACTATGAATATTTTATTTGAACTTACACCCAATTGATAGACAATGAAATAAATTGCTTCCTCCAAATTCGAGCCAACAAGCAATTCTGCAACTTTGAAGTTGCCTCGTTTAAGTGATGTTGTCGGCTGCTCAATCAAGAAATCACCATCAACTACCGGAACCCAAGGAAAATCAGCGAATTCCATTACAGGTGCCCATTCCGAACTACGGAGCGCTTCTGCTGGTGCATCCATTAAGCATCGTAACACCTGAATTAATTAATCAAAAAAATAATAGATAAACTATTTGTGCAATTTGAAATAATAGTAATAATAATAATAAATAATACAATCATAAATCGTTCTCTTATTTTTTTCAATGAAATTTTACTAAAAATTTCTTAAAAGTTTAAATTTATGGATATTTTCTGATTTCCTTCTCTACTGAAATCAGATAACCTTTTCAAGATCCCAGTTCTGATTTTTTGACATATTTCCGCACCGCATATCGTCGTATAAAACAACCGATCGTGCAATTGCTATTTCCCTGCAAAAAATTGGATATAAATTTGAAATTGTTAAAACTGATAATCTCGTACAATTAATTATTGGTATAATAATAAAATTTCTAGGGATAACAATAAAATTTTAAGAGATAAATTATAAAAAATTGTAACAATACCTGTTTTCTATTGCCCATGGAGCTGTAACACTTCCGCTTTGAATAATTGCTCGTTGAAAGTATGGCGAACTTCTGGGACTTAATAAATGCATTGAAACTGATGCTGCACCAGCACTTTCACCAAATAATGTCACCTGATTTGGATCGCCACCGAATAAATCGATATTTTTCCGAACCTGTAATAATCACTTTTAGCTTGAAGCGAAATTTAAAGTTTTGCCAGTTTATGTTGCAAGCAACAAAAATATTGCATTTGTAAGGTGATAAATAATAAGAAGCATAATTATGTTCCAAGTGCTCTCATATACCGATGATATCGATACGTGATAAATGGTGTATTTATAATCTAAAAGAAATTAGTGAGTTGAGAGTAATTATTCATTTGAATCTCATTTTTATTTATTAAAAATTGCCACCTATCCTAATTAATAAAACTAATAGCTACTATTGATCCCTAAAAATTTTTGAAATTGTTGAATATGCATATCCATTTTGATAACGCGAATATTACATCGATTTTAAGTAATCGATACTATAAACAACTATATATAT